TTATAAGCAACCTCGAAGTGATTCGAACCTCATAAACTGTTTAATAAATGTTAATTAAGGAATAATTGAGGAATGATGTACAGGCTTCGTAAGGTGGACATGTAAATGGTTGCTGAGTCCCGGCCCCTTCCATCTAACAGTGATTGTGGATATAAGGAACATCGTACACGGGTTTTAAAGCCTGCCAAATCTTACCCTACTAAACCCACCCGAGGGTAACACAGCCCAGCGTGACCAGACCAGACCTGACCTGACCTGACCTGACCTGACCTGACTTGACCTGATCTGACCTGACTTGATCTGACCTGACCTGACCTGATCTGACCTGGCTTGACCTGATCTGACCTGGTTTGATCTGACATGACCTGAGCTGACCTGGCTTGATCTGACCTGATCTGACCTGACCTGACCTCATCTGACCTACCTGACCTCATCTGACCTGACCTGACCTGACCTCATCTGACCTGACCTGACCTCATCTGACCTACCTGACCTCATCTGACCTGACCTGACATGACATGACCTGACCTGACGAAACCTAACGACATGCACGTTGTTGACAATCAGTAACACCGTCTGGTGTACAACAACACCATCTGGTGTACAACAACACCATCTGGTGTACGACAACACCGTCTGGTGTACGACAACACCATCTGGTGTACAACAACACCATCTGGTGTACGACAACACCGTCTGGTGTACGACAACACCGTCTGGTGTACAACAACACCATCTGGTGTACAACAACACCATCTGGTGTACGACAACACCGTCTGGTGTACGACAACACCATCTGGTGTACGACAACACCGTCTGGTGTACAACAACACCATCTGGTGTACGACAACACCGTCTGGTGTACAACAACACCATCTGGTGTACAACAACACCATCTGGTGTACGACAACACCGTCTGGTGTACGACAACACCGTCTGGTGTACGACAACACCATCTGGTGTACGACAACACCATCTGGTGTACGACAACACCGTCTGGTGTACGACAACACCGTCTGGTGTACGACAACACCGTCTGGTGTACAACAACACCATCTGGTGAACGACAACACCGTCTGGTGTACGACAACACCGTCTGGTGTACAACAACACCATCTGGTGTACGACAACACCGTCTGGTGTACGACAACACCGTCTGGTGTACGACAACACCGTCTGGTGTACGACAACACCATCTGGTGTACGACAACACCGTCTGGTGTACGACAACACCATCTGGTGTACGACAACACCGTCTGGTGTACGACAACACCGTCTGGTGTACGACAACACCATCTGGTGTACGACAACACCGTCTGGTGTACGACAACACCATCTGGTGTACGACAACACCGTCTGGTGTACGACAACACCATCTGGTGTACGACAACACCGTCTGGTGTACGACAACACCGTCTGGTGTACGACAACACCGTCTGGTGTACGACAACACCGTCTGGTGTACGACAACACCGTCTGGTGTACGACAACACCGTCTGGTGTACAACAACACCATCTGGTGAACGACAACACCGTCTGGTGTACGACAACACCGTCTGGTGTACAACAACACCATCTGGTGTACGACAACACCGTCTGGTGTACGACAACACCGTCTGGTGTACGACAACACCGTCTGGTGTACGACAACACCATCTGGTGTACGACAACACCGTCTGGTGTACGACAACACCATCTGGTGTACGACAACACCGTCTGGTGTACGACAACACCGTCTGGTGTACGACAACACCATCTGGTGTACGACAACACCGTCTGGTGTACGACAACACCATCTGGTGTACGACAACACCGTCTGGTGTACGACAACACCATCTGGTGTACGACAACACCGTCTGGTGTACGACAACACCGTCTGGTGTACGACAACACCGTCTGGTGTACGACAACACCGTCTGGTGTACGACAACACCGTCTGGTGTACGACAACACCGTCTGGTGTACGACAACACCGTCTGGTGTACGACAACACCGTCTGGTGTACGACAACACCAGTGAAGGCAGCGGGGGGCCCGGGTGGTGAAGGCAGCGGTGGCCCGGGTGGTGAAGGCAGCGGGGGCCCGGGTGGTGAAGGCAGCGGTGGCCCGGGTGGTGAAGGCAGCGGGGGGCCCGGGTGGTGAAGGCAGCGGTGGGCCCGGGTGGTGAAAGCAGCGGTGGCCCCGGGTGGTGAAGGCAGCGGTGGCCCCGGGTGGTGAAGGCAGCGGTGGCCCCGGGTGGTGAAGGCAGCGGGGGCCCGGGTGGTGAAGGCAGCGGTGGCCCCGGGTGGTGAAGGCAGCGGGGGCCCGGGTGGTGAAAGCAGCGGTGGTCCCGGGTGGTGAAGGCAGCGGTGGCCCGGGTGGTGAAGGCAGCGGTGGCCCCGGGTGGTGAAGGCAGCGGTGGCCCGGGTGGTGAAGGCAGCGGGGGCCCGGGTGGTGAAGGCAGCGGTGGCCCCGGGTGGTGAAGGCAGCGGTGGCCCCGGGTGGTGAAGGCAGCGGTGGGCCCGGGTGGTGAAGGCAGCGGGGGCCAGGGTGGTGAAAGCAGCGGTGGCCCCGGGTGGTGAAGGCAGCGGTGGGCCCGGGTGATGAAGGCAGCGGGGGCCCGGGTGGTGAAGGCAGCGGTGGCCCCGGGTGGTGAAGGCAGCGGTGGCCCCGGGTGGTGAAGGCAGCGGTGGGCCCGGGTGGTGATGGCAGCGGTGGGCCCGGGTGGTGATGGCAGCGGTGGGCCCGGGTGATGAAGGCAGCGGGGGCCCGGGTGGTGAAGGCAGCGGGGGCCCGGGTGATGAAGGCAGCGGGGGCCCGGGTGATGAAGGCAGCGGGGGCCCGGGTGAGGACCACCACATTAAGCTGGAGGGCCCACGAGCCACTCAGTACACCCGCGCCATAATGCCCCGCGCCTCACAGCTCTCCACTCTGGCCCAGAGAGCTGTGGGAATAGGACTAATGGGCGGAAAATGAAAGCAGACGGCCAAATGGAGACAGAGAGAGAGAGAGAAAGAGTTATCGGAGTAGTTGAAGACGTGCACCGTATTGTAAGACTGGCGCGTGCGGCCTCTCTGATGTGTGACGTGACTTGAAGCAAGTCACATCGAAGACTTGAAGCATCGTCTGCAAGATGAAGGAGGAGGTGGTGCCAGAGGGCAGCTGTGGCGTCACTCAGCATCTGACGGGGTGGTAGATCTGGCACTGGAGTGGCACTGCATCACTTAACTGGCACTCACCTCGACCCGGGGGGGTAGTCACGAAGGACATATTTCATAATTTCCTTCTAATATTCGTCGAATTCGGTCAATCGTAAGCAAATTAACTCGCCATTTCTGTAAATTAATCACATTGTTGTGTGCAACTGATTAATTAAACCATTGACACGCCGGAGTTTGTTCAGAAATATACCTCAATATTTATTTATTATTATTTTTTTGCAGAAACTCACAAAATTCATTTATGATTTTTCAAATCAAATGAGTAACTAAAGGATACGAATCGTCTCCACGCGCATCGTGTGTGTTATGTTTCGTACAGTGTTTTCTAGGTTAGGCTAGTTAGGTACAGTTATTTTTTAGTTCTAGCTTCGGAGGACTTCCCTGACTGTAGTTACGAGCTTGGGGACTCCCCTGACTGTAGTTACGAGCTTGGGAGACTCTCCTGACTATAGTTACGAGCTTGGGGGACTCCCTTGACTATAGTTACGAGCTTGGGGACTCCCCTGACTATAGTTACGAGCTTGGGGACTCTCCTGACTATAGTTACGAGCTTGGGGACTCCCCTGACTATAGTTACGAGCTTGGGGACTCCCCTGACTGTAGTTACGAGCTTGGGAGACTCTCCTGGCTATAGTTACAAGCTTGGGGACTCTCCTGACTATAGTTACGAGCTTGGGGACTCCCCTGACTGTAGTTACAAGCTTGGGAGACTCCCCGGACTATAGTTACGAGCTTGGGGACTCCCCTGACTGTAGTTACGAGCTTGGGGACTCCCCTGACTGTAGTTACGAGCTTGGGGACTCCCCTGACTGTAGTTACGAGCTTGGGAGACTCTCCTGACTATAGTTACAAGCTTGGGGACTCCCTTGACTATAGTTACGAGCTTGGGGACTCCCCTGACTATAGTTACGAGCTTGGGGACTCTCCTGACTATAGTTACGAGCTTGGAGACTCCTCTCACTATAGTTACGAGCTTGGGGACTCTCCTGACTATAGTTACGAGCTTGGGGACTCCTCTCACTATAGTTACGAGCTTGGGGACTCCCCTGACTATAGTTACGAGCTTGGGGACTCCTCTCACTATAGTTACGAGCTTGGGGACTCTCCTGACTATAGTTACGAGCTTGGGGACTCCTCTCACTATAGTTACGAGCTTGGGGACTCCTCTCACTATAGTTACGAGCTTGGGGACTCCTCTCACTATAGTTACGAGCTTGGGGACTCCTCTCACTATAGTTACGAGCTTGGGGACTCCTCTCACTATAGTTACGAGCTTGGAGACTCCTCTCACTATAGTTACGAGCTTGGGGACTCCTCTCACTATAGTTACGAGCTTGGGGACTCCTCTCACTATAGTTACGAGCTTGGGGACTCCCCTGACTATAGTTACGAGCTTGGGGACTCTCCTGACTATAGTTACGAGCTTGGGGACTCCTCTCACTATAGTTACGAGCTTGGGGACTCCTCTCACTATAGTTACGAGCTTGGGGACTCCTCTCACTATAGTTACGAGCTTGGGGACTCTCCTGACTATAGTTACGAGCTTGGGGACTCCCCTGACTGTAGTTACGAGCTTGGGGACTCCCCTGACTGTAGTTACGAGCTTGGGGACTCTCCTGACTATAGTTACGAGCTTGGGGACTCCTCTCACTATAGTTACGAGCTTGGGGACTCCTCTCACTATAGTTACGAGCTTGGGGACTCCTCTCACTATAGTTACGAGCTTGGGGACTCTCCTGACTATAGTTACGAGCTTGGAGACTCCTCTCACTATAGTTACGAGCTTGGGAGACTCTCCTGACTATAGTTACGAGCTTGGGGACTCCCCTGACTATAGTTACGAGCTTGGGGACTCCTCTCACTATAGTTACGAGCTTGGGGACTCCTCTCACTACAGTTACGAGCTTGGGGACTCTCCTGACTATAGTTACGAGCTTGGAGACTCCCCTGACTGTAGTTACGAGCTTGGGGACTCCTCTCACTATAGTTACGAGCTTGGGGACTCCCCTGACTGTAGTTACGAGCTTGGGGACTCCCCTGACTATAGTTACGAGCTTGGGGGACTCTCTGATTATGTAGAATTTCATTTATTTCTCTTTCTAATAAGGTGACTGTGCCAACCTACCAGGGACTGGGATTCGTGAAGTATTTAAGCAACCACCTGCGAAACCTGTACATCTTTCCTTAATAATTGCGGCTTTGTCTTAATTTATTAAAGAGTTTACGAGTTTCACAGCCTAAGGTTATGAGGTCTGAAGCGCTAGAAGTTGTTACAAACAACCTTTAGCGTTTCAGAGCTCATAAACTGTTTAATAAATGCACATTAAGCCGTCTTTATTAAAGAAAGATGCACAGGCTTCGTAAGTGGTCTCCTAAGTACTTGATGAATCCCGGGCAAGCCCCCTCACTCTAGAGAGAGCACTATTCTTTAATTAATTTCACCATGAATACTAACTCTACTGCTTTACATTTGATTTCAGATGAAAGCGTTTTCCCAAACTCATCTTCAAGCAATCTGTAACGTATCTAAAAGTCTTAATTAATATTTTCTAGGCTCAGAGGATTGGTACCACTTTGCCGTGCGGAGGAGGCGGTGATGCGCTCAGATATTACTCCGCTACTAACATTGATGCCAACACTGGCTGACAATTAACCTTAATTATTCTCTCTTACAAAGAAATTCCTAAGCCACAAACAATGTAGGATGTAAACCTTCAAGTACAAGATCGACGATACACTTATCGTGCGAAACAATTTGAATATGTAATGAGAAATATGACCCGTTGGTAGCATACAAAATGAGAGAGGATCTGGCAATACCAAACTGGAAGAGATGCAGATTTTTAACCAAACAATGTTTTTATAATTTCACATATATGTCTACATATATGAATAGCCTCATTCATACTCGTAATAAAAATCGTAAATGTCAAGGCCTAAGCGTTATTTCAAAGTTATGTCTAAGCATCGCGTCTAGACATTATCAAGTGTCTAAGTGTCTAGACATTGTCTCTAGGCGTCTAAGTGTCTAGACATCGTCTCTAAGTGTCTACGTATCGTCTCTATAAGCGTCTAAGTGTCTAGACATCGTCACTATGTGTCTAGACATCGTCTCTAGGCGTCTAAGTGTCTAGACTTTGTGACTAGGCATCAAGTCTAGGAAGCTTCAAAGTCTTCTTTTTCAATAAAAACAACTTCTTTAATTTTCTCTTTGAGATTCAACACCTGTCCTTACTCGCACCAAAGGATTTCACGAATTGGCCAATTAAGTGTCAGAGTAGTTAGTAAATAGAATGCATTAGGCAGTGATGTGGTGGAGGCTGACTCCATACACAGTTTCAAATGTAGATATGATAGAGTTCGAGAAGCATTTGTACACCAGTTGAGTGACAGTTGAGAGGCGAGACCAAAGAGCCAGAGCTCAACCCCCGCAAGCACAACTAGGTGAGTAAACACCTAGAAGGCAAAAGATAAGAGAAGTGATATGATCACGACGTACACAAAATTAACGGGAATCGACAAAATTGATAAAGGAAAGTTCTTGAAGGCCTGGACCGTCAGGAGCAAGCGGTCGTATATTTAAGCTAACTAAACAAAGCTGACGACAAAACATATTGGAAATTTCTCCTTTGTCAACAGAGTGGGAGACGGTTGGAACAAGTGGAACAGCCGGTAGACGGTTGGAACAAGTGGAACAGCTGGTAGACGGTTGGAACAAGTGGAACAGCTGGTAGACGGTTGGAACAAGTGGAACAGCCGGTAGACGGTTGGAACAAGTGGAACAGCTGGTAGACGGTTGGAACAAGTGGAACAGCTGGTAGACGGTTGGAACAAGTGGAACAGCTGGTAGACGGTTGGAACAAGTGGAACAGCTGGTAGACGGTTGGAACAAGTGGAACAGCTGGTAGACGGTTGGAACAAGTGGAACAGCTGGTAGACGGTTGGAACAAGTGGAACAGCTGGTAGACGGTTGGAACAAGTGGAACAGCTGGTAGACGGTTGGAACAAGTGGAACAGCTGGTAGACGGTTGGAACAAGTGGAACAGCTGGTAGACGGTTGGAACAAGTGGAACAGCCAGTAGACGGTTGGAACAAGTGGAACAGCTGGTAGACGGTTGGAACAAGTGGAACAGCCGGTAGACGGTTGGAACAAGTGGAACAGCTGGTAGACGGTTGGAACAAGTGGAACAGCTGGTAGACGGTTGGAACAAGTGGAACAGCTGGTAGACGGTTGGAACAAGTGGAACAGCTGGTAGACGGTTGGAACAAGTGGAACAGCCGGTAGACGGTTGGAACAAGTGGAACAGCTGGTAGACGGTTGGAACAAGTGGAACAGCTGGTAGACGGTTGGAACAAGTGGAACAGCCGGTAGACGGTTGGAACAAGTGGAACAGCTGGTAGACGGTTGGAACAAGTGGAACAGCTGGTAGACGGTTGGAACAAGTGGAACAGCTGGTAGACGGATGGAACAAGTGGAACAGCCGGTAGACGGTTGGTGACAAAGATGGTGGAGGCCAAAACCATCAGTAGTTTCAAAGTGTTATATGACAAAGAGCACTGGGAAGACGGGACACCACGAGCGTAGCTCCCGCCCTGTACCAACACTTAGGTAATTACACACAGACATGACCGAGTACCCAGCTCTCGCGGGTCGTAGTCCTAAGGACTTGGGTTCGAATCCCACCCGAGGCAGAAAGAAATGGGCAAAGTTCATTTCACCTGATGCACCTGTTCATCTAACAATAAATAGGTACAGTACCTGGGCGTTACACAGCTGCTACGGCCAGCATCCTGGGGATTAGTGTGTTTATGTGTGTGTGAGAGAGAGAGAAATATGAAGTAGATATGATAAAGGAAAATGGGTCAGGAGTCAGTACCTTAGACAACTGGCAGTTTGAAAGGCGGGGTCCAAGAGCTAACAACTCGATCCTGCAGGCACAAATAGTAAACACACACACACACACACACACACACACACACACACACACACACACACACACACACACACACACACACACACACACACACACACACACACACCTAACTGAGTACCCAAATGAGCCACAGGGCCGTTAGAAAGAACTTTTTCATTGTCAGAGTAGTTAACAGGTGGAATGCATTAGGCAGTGATGTGGTGGAGACTGACTCCATACACAGTTTAAATTATAGATATGATAGAGCCCAGTAGGCTCAGGCATCTGTACACCAGTTGATTGACGGTTGAGAGGCGGGACCAAAGAGCCAAAGCTCAACCCCCGCAAGCACAACTAGGTGAGTACAACCAGGTACGTACACACACACACACACACACACACACACACACACACACACACACACACACACACACACACACACACACACACACACACACACACACACACACACACACACACACATACACACAAACCCTTTAAGCTGCAGAGATTTATACATACCCACAAGATGAGCACAAACACAGTCGAGTGAAAATAATGGTTGGAAGGTGTTATTCATCAGGTCATATTCCCGGTGGTAGGAGAGTGTGGAGTGGAGGATGGCGAGGGAGTGGAGGATGGTGAGGGAGTGGAGGATGGCGAGGGAGTGGAGGCCGCCCGCTCTCATCTTTAGTGCAGAGTCACAGAGTTCACCCACGTCATGGGGCCCACGTGCGCTGTGTTTACAGTGTGTGTGTTCCTTGAGGGCAATGATGGGACCACGTGCCTTGTGTTTACAGTGTGTGTGTTCCTTGAGGGCAATGATGGGGCCACGTGCCTTGTGTTTACAGTGTGTGTGTTCCTTGAGGGCAATGATGGGGCCACGTGCGCTGTGTTTACAGTGTGTGTGTTCCTTGAGGGCAATGATGGGACCACGTGCGCTGTGTTTACAGTGTGTGTGTTCCTTGAGGGCAATGATGGGGACCACGTGCGCTGTGTTTACAGTGTGTGTGTGTTCCTTGAGGGCAATGATGGGACCACGTGCCTTGTGTTTACAGTGTGTGTGTGTTCCTTGAGGGCAATGATGGGGCCACGTGCCTTGTGTTTACAGTGTGTGTGTGTTCCTTGAGGGCAATGATGGGGCCACGTGCGCTGTGTTTACAGTGTGTGTGTTCCTTGAGGGCAATGATGGGACCCACGTGCCTTGTGTTTACAGTGTGTGTGTGTTCCTTGAGGGCAATGATAGGACCCACGTGTGTTGTGTTTACAGTGTGTGTGTGTGTGTTCCTTGAGGGCAATGATGGGGCCCATGTGCGTTGTGTTTACAGCGTGTGTGAGTGTTCCTTGAGGGCAATGATGGGACCCATGTGTCTTGTGTTTACAGTGTGTGTGTGTTCCTTGAGGGCAATGATGGGACCCATGTGCCTTGTGTTTACAGTGTGTGTGTGTTCCTTGAGGGCAATGATAGGACCCACGTGTGTTGTGTTTACAGTGTGTGTGTGTGTGTTCCTTGAGGGCAATGATGGGACCCACGTGCCTTGTGTTTACAGTGTGTGTGTGTTCCTTGAGGGCAATGATGGGACCCATGTGCCTTGTGTTTACAGTGTGTGTGTGTTCCTTGAGGGCAATGATGGGGACCACGTGCCTTGTGTTTACAGTGTGTGTGTTCCTTGAGGGCAATGATGGGACCCACGTGCCTTGTGTTTACAGTGTGTGTGTTCCTTGAGGGTAATGGCAGCCGCCCGCTAAACACACTTCACACTCAAAACAAGTCTTTTGGAAGAAACTTCCAATTAATCATGCCTTCAAAGCACGAGAGGATCCGAGTAATAAGCTGCATTGATATTCACTGAGCAGTTCTATCCCACGACAGTGAGAATAAACAAAT